AGGTTTATTACTTCGAATTGTACACTTAAACGATTGTTTTGATTTTTGCTGATTGGCCGAAATCACGTGACTGCCACGTTTTTTTCTGGATGGCTAGGGTACTGGGTCACCCGGGTTGAACGGGCCCAATTACTAAATTAGACCGCAGAAGACGGTGTTACGCCCAAAATTGGGAGAGCGGTATTTGTGTTCAACTAATTGGCTTTGGGCGCAACCAGTGTTTAAAATTCAGATCAAAACCTACTTGCACAATTGCAATTATAGTATAGGTTTTGATTGCACAAACCAACTACTAGTTGCACACATGTGCATAAAAATTTTTTTTTATATGCACATATTTATTGCCTCTAAATGATACCAATGTTGTAAATTTTTTATATCTTACAAAATTTTTTTATGTTCCAAAACTCTTCAATGACTATGCTCATATTTTATGTTCATTAACTAACTACTATCCCAGAATTTTCTAATATTATTTAATTTTTTTAACTTATTGCAAGTGTATCTGCTATAAAACTAATTTATTCAAATTTATTCTCTTAATAATTCAAATAAAAATCACAACTATATCAAATACAAACTTACATACAGTCAGCCCTCTCTAAATGCATGACGTCGGGACTATAATAAAAAATTGATAAAATATGCATTTAAAGAGGTTATGTATTTAGGGAGGTAAAAATCTATAAGTGTTATATTAGTTGGGCCCAAGAAAAGACATGCATTTAGGGAGGTTGCATTTAGGGAGGTCCGACTGTATCTTAATTATATATTATAGTTAGTAAAATAACAAGTTATAATAAAGTTAGAGGCATGGCCTCATTATTAATATTAAAAAAAAATAACAAGTTCTATAACAGAATTACTTACAGTAACTTATGATAGTAAGTTCTGTTATTAATATTAATTTATGATAGATAATATGTTAATTCCAATTTAGATCATCTTAAGCTGAAATAAATAATTTTTATAACAGAATTCTTTTAGAAAATTATAAATAAGTCATGTTCATTTCAATGCAAACTAACTTACTTTAACTATTATTATAGTAATCTGAATAGTGAGCAAGTTCTGCAAGAGAATTTAAATAACTCATAATAGAAATTATGATAATTCCAATGCAAACTAACTTTCCTTAATACTAAAATAGTAACTTCAAATATTCTATAGAATAGATGGACAATATAAAAAATAAGCTTTGTTAATAATTAGTTATTATTAATTTTTTAATAGCAATGTTGTGGAGTTTGCAGAGTTTATATATTTACCCACCTATTCTATAGAACTTCTGTAACTTTTGCATAAAATTATTTACTAACTATTCATAATTGCTAAATTTCTGTGCAATAAAATTTTATAATTTCTCTTGCACTTAATTTTTTGTGCAAGCTTCTTATTTAAATTTAATTGCACGCCTGTGCATTTACATTTAGAACTTCTCTTGCACAAAAAAAAATCACTTGCACATGTGCATCTTGTACAAGGCAATTTTAAGCACTGGGCGCAACATAAATTATGTGGGGTGAGTATTTTATTAGGGATGTACGAAAGCCGTTATTTATTTACAGAGAGGATTATGTACAAGATTATATACAAGATTGTTCTATCGTTCTACACACACAACTCTACTCTACTTCTACACACTCTACTATTTTACCCGCCAGCTAGAGTCACTCTTTATATATACTTCGTCTACTACCTAATTGTTTAGTATATTTTATTTAATCTCATTCATATGATACACGTATATTTTGTTTTCTTGAATTCATCAAGTTTTTTTTTTATTTGCATCAGTACGATCACATGAATATGTACCATGAAATATTAGAGGGATACCATGAACGAAGTTTCACGGAAATGAAACGAGGGGTATATCAGGAACGTACGTACGTACGTACCAGAAACGAATGGCTGCGCGTAACCAAAATCTAATACTCGATTGGTCGGCGTGATCATGATTGTCACATCTTGCTTATTCTTCAACTACTATTAAAAATCACACTGTCAAAGCCACAAATCTGCCCTGCTAAAATGAACACTTACCGTTGAAGTCGCTGCTAAATCACGAACTTAAACTACTAAAATACTGAATTCACCCAATGTTGGAATCATTAACCTATCCACTACCTAAATCGTGAGCCCACTTTCTGTCGAAATCGCGAACCTCTATTGTTTAGATTACGAATCTACCACTAAATGAATCCATCACTGTTGAAAGTATGAACATACTACTAAATCATGATACATTGTTCAAGCTATTGAATTATTAGCCCACCTACAACTAAAATCAAAACCCACTCACTATTTAATATTCCATTTATCCAAAGCTGGAATTATGAATCACCTCACCATTAAATCAATAACCCACCAATGTTAAAGTATAATACTAACTGATCTGTTAAATAGTAAACTCAATGTTGAAATCACTAACTCATTTTTGAAATCACAACACATTTACTGTTAAAATCACTAATCTATCCACCACTAAAATTGGCACTACTATCTACATTAACCGCTCACTATTAAATCACTTACCCACCCACAGATTAGGTACCTAAGTTAAAAACCTTAATGTGATTACCAAGTGCTCCAGAAACAGTAATTCTTCAAAGCAAAGACAAATAGCATTATATCATATTTTGTCAAGTGCACTGAACTAGGAGTTACTCTTAAATCACAAAATAAAAATAAAAAAAAAACACACTTCATATTACTGTTACTTTCTACCAGATTTTTAGCTTATATCATCACCCATTGTTATATATGATTAAGGTTGTCACAGTTGTTACAGATACGTAGTAATAAAGCTAAAATTTTGCGATATTATGTTAGAACCAGTTCATTTCCTGTACGAATAGTTTATTTTCATAAAAAACTTGCACAGCTTGAAAAGACGAAGTTGCATTGATGTCGGAATAATCATCATTCTTCATATATCAATATAAATAGTTTTATTAGTATCGAAAAAAATAGACGAAATTAATAAACAAGTATAAATGGTTTTAGGGGCTAAATAAACCATTTTACAATAAATAAACAATTTGTTTTGATCACAACAGTGGGTATGACTATACAAAATCATAACTTTCTTTGAACACCTCAAGCACCTTTCTACTAAATCTTACATGCAGCATATTTTCCAATTTCCTGTTTCATTTAGTTGTTTTGAGTAGCTACTTACCGGTATGATTTAAAACAATTGCAATGCGAATTATATAGAACTCGGTACAGTATATGGTGCAACAACACATACAGTACATTTACAAAATGCAATACTCTGTATCTCATTTTGCATGATAACATCGTACAGCTATTGTATTTTATCGAATACCTTAAATGAATACATTTCAAAATGGATTTAATCGTGCTGCAAAAATTGTTCATTACACAGTAGTATAATTATTGTGGCAGATTAAAGTGAAATCAGATTAAAATGAAATGAGGGATAGTGTAAATAGACAAGCCACCGAAAAATACAAATTTTTGGGGTACATTTTTTTAGCATTTTTTTAGGTTAGGATTAGGGTTTATAAGCAGGTTTTATAATAAACAAGTATAAGTGGGTTTTAGAGGGTCAAATAGAAACCCCTCATTTCATTTTAATCCGATTTCATTATGATCTGCGACAATTATTACGTTGCAACATTATAAATAATATATATATTACATATTTAACTTGACTCAGTTTAAATTAGCCGAGTCAAATTAGTTAATTTATACTAATTCGAGTTTAATTAAACTGATTTGGTCAAGTTTAACTTAACCTAAAAGCTAACATGATTATTATTTTCTTGAAAATTTTACTGTACAATGTATCTAATTATGCAATTAAGCTATTGTTCACATTAACACATGTATGTGACCCTAACCTGGATAACACTGGATAATAAAGTACGGTTCTTTTCGACCCATCAAAAAATGGAAAACATATTTACTGAGAGCGGCATTATACTGCATATTCCATCTGAAAAAGTCCCATATATTCCCCGCCAACTTGAAAACCAATTACTGAAAAACCCTGGAACAATTCGTTCCTTACGACCACTACGAGAGCCTTGCCACCCTGTGCTACGTCCACTATTAGTTTTAATCTCAATGCCATTAACGTACTTTCCAATTACATATGATATCTCTGTAATATATTCTCCATCAACCCATAGGAAATCTTTAAGATGTCCCTTATTTGGTGTGCCAATAACTTGGGTTGTATCATCCGAGAAAACAAAAACTAAAGAATGCACTGTTCGTTTTGTAGACCAAATTCGAATCATTGTCAACTTTTTTGTAACTGTAGAAAACCTTATATTAAAACTTATGCAATTTTTATTCATATTACTAGGAAGTTTTGGGTGTGGCATATTCAAGTCTTCGATACTATATTTAAGATCCTTTAATGAAGTTTTATCTATTTCTACGTGATTTATATTTTCTTCAAGTTGTACTTCAACTTCCTGACTTTTTATTCTGTAGTCATCAATAATTTTATCAAACAATTCTAAATTATTCTGTAATTCTTTGATGAATATAATCCCTTCATCAATCTCTTCTAATTGATCCTTTATTTGAATTTTTTCTTCCTCACTACTAATAAAACGCAAAAGTCGCTGATACAATGAATTATCATGTCGTATTGCACTGGTTCTTCCGTCATCTAAAACTAAATGTGCTTCTTTGGCTGTATCAGTAACTTGGTATGTTTTTTTGATTGCCTTTGTCAATGCAGCTTTAAAGATAGGGATACGTTTTTTAATCGCATCAAGATGTTTTTGTATTGCCTCTCTGGCTGCTTCACTTTTCCAATCCTTTGCTAATTGTTCCTCAATTGTATTCATCCTATCACGAACAGTTCGTGAAAAAACTATGGCCTCATGTCGAAAATCGGAATATATTTTAGTAGCTTCATTAACACGAATATCCAGTGAATTTAATGATTCCGAGATTTTCTTTCGAAGGTTTGGATCAATTTGATCCATGTTTCGTATCGTTATAGCAAGATAGCGACATGCTAGGCTATTTTCAACCATAGTAGGTATTTCTAATAATAACATCTTGCTTTCGTCATAATTTAAATATTTTATTTATAACTATATTAGAAATCAAGAATTTGATCTTACATACCTGGAACAAAAAGTTCATTCATTTCATCTACTACATTTTGAGTTACAGTAACTAATGGATCTAATGGTGATTTCGTTAATCGTTGCTGCATGATAAATTAATTAGTCATTATATCAAGTGCCTGCATGATCTATATAGAATTTACAATTCAAAGAACAAAAGAAATTTATAAGTTTACATTAATAAGTGCAATCCACAAACTTATTATTCCTAATGCACCTAAAAATAATCTTGGTTTGGAATAAGCTGACCATAGTAAAAATTTAAGGACATACGTAACGATTTTATACACAAAGAGGAAAAGATTTAAAACATTCATGTGTAAAATAATATTTTACTATTAATTACAGAATTACTTTAGAAATCTTGACTTTTAGTTGTATATTGGGTCGCCTGTGAACTAAGTCACAAGGCATTACAGTGTGGTACGTTCGTACAAATGTATTGTGTATTTATAACATTTTTGGCCATATTTATGAATGTGGCACTTTTCTTTGAAGTATTTGGTATTTGTGGTTTCACGATTATCGTTTGTGCAAGTTATTAAGTTTAATAACCTTTCTTTTTTTAATGCATCTAAGATTACGTACGTATGCACTATGAACTTGGCTTGTTCTAAATCAATTTCTATAATCGTTATTTTGCTTGCAATTATTGTTCCGTTATCATATTCTGAGGTAACCTTTAAAATAATAACTTTATTATATCTTTGACATGTTAGCTACTTTTTTGTATATACTTTTGGTGGACTATATGAATTATATGAATATATGAACTTCTATTTATTGAAATTTTAAGCGCTTATTCATATTAATATTGATATTTTTTTATTATAGATTCCATTTATAGACTCATTTATTGAATATTTTGAACCATGGATCGATGTGAGTTAAATTATTTCATAAAAATTAATCATATAAATATTAACGTTCATTCAATCCATTATCGTTATACTGTAGATTCCATTGTTCATAAGTACAATTCTTGATTATTTTGATTATTTTGAGTCGATCTATGTGAGCCAAACTATTTCATAAAAATTGAAAATAAAAAATCATTTTTATATTTATCAAAATTTTATTTTAGTTTCCTCTAGCAATACCAGAAGATGGGCCGATATTCCGTGATCTTGCTAATACGACAACAATTTTTTTAAAAGTTATCACCACTATCAATATACCACGTAAGGAAAATAAATTATCCATATATGAACCTTATACATTATTTATTTACATATGTCTTGTTCAATCTTTAATCATTATTTTAGCTTCAGCACAAATTATTGATCAACGTCCAGAAGGTCTGTTCCTTGCTAATGTCGCCGATAAAGTCGGACATAAGTCACAAATGGAAAATAAAATGATAGTTCAATATTTAAATGATCTCGCTGAAAGCACATATCAAACAGGAAAAAAAGCAGAGAAATTATTTAGCATAGGATCATATTTAATCAATCGAATTGGTAATGAAATAACTTCAATTCGAGAAACTCTTTCATTGGATATGACTTTATCTAGACGAAATGTGACATTTTTATCAAATAGACTTAATAAATTCTTATTACAAGCAACTGAATTTCGTGATCAATTCAAAGCTATTCTTATGGCAATTGATGATGAAGAAAAGATTTGGAATGGAACTCAATATGGCATAAATTCTTTTTCTGATGTTGAAAAATATTTTGAATCTATAAAATCAACAGGAAGTAAAATTTATAAATGGGAGAACATTGTAAATAAATTAGTTATTTTTAAGCGCGGATGTCTGGTTACTTTTGAGGCTCGTAGAGGAATAGAAATTGCTCTTAGAATTGCAGAACAAGTCAGATTAGAATTTATACAAGGCAAAGAGATAATACGTGGTTTAAATAAAAAAAAGGTTGTTAGGAAAATAGATTTAATGAATTTAGAAGGTGTTGAAACGTTGACTGAAATAGTTTCGGCAAGTTGGGCAGAAAAAGATAAATCAAAAATTATTATCCAATATACTGATTAGAAAATTTATTTTATAAAAAATTTGTATAATTATTACATTCTATAAACTTTCTAAATATAATTAAGTATTTGGCTAAATATGCATACTCACTCATCGGAAGTATCATGCTATAATAAATTTGCTCAGTAATTAAAGGTATTTCAGGGATGTATATGAACTATTAAAATACCACAGAACAATTCAGTGTGTATTAAAATTTTTACACATGTTTATTCTTTACTAAATCTCATTATTTATTATAGACTTAATTACTATTTGTCAAATAATATATTTAGTCACTATTATTACTATCATTAGCTAAATATATACACGAGAGTTTAGTTTGGTTTATAGTTGACATACAATTCATCATAATTCAAATGTCGTTATATATTTTTTAAAGGATAACTATGGAAGCGTCCCTTGTCTGATAACGGCAGATTAAGATATGAACATTGTTGACAGGTTGTTAAATCTAAACCTACACAAGGTGTTACTCCGTCAACGGAACATAATGTACCAACACAAGTATTGTTCACATTCAAAACGCTTCCTAGGAAGACGGAAGAAATAAAAGTCATAAAGGTAAGAAGAAAAATCAAATCTCAAAGCTATATAATCTGAAGAGAGTAAAAAATTTAAAATTATTTATCAATAAAGAAATAAAAATAAAATAAACAAGTTTACGAGTTAATTGATGAAAATATAACCACTAAATCGTAATTTTTAAAGTAGCTATGCTAATAATTAGAGTTGAACATTCGGCATAAGTAAATGTACTGCCGTAGATAACATGAAATTTTATTTTTATACTCTTGTTTATGCTATATAAACGATTCCGAAGTCCAATTTTAGTGAATAGTCATTTTCCCGTTTTATATCTAAACATTAATCTCCAACTAGCGTATTTATAGTCAATCTCCCTAAATGCATAAACATAAAAAAATCACAAAACCTTGCATTTAGAGAGGGGTGAAAATCTACATGTATTATATGAGTTGGGCCCGGTAATGTTTCTGGCGTAACCCAAAAAGAAAATTATAACGATACAACTGTTTATTAATTATTATAAATTTCTTTTGGATTTGCCCAAAAAAACACTCAGTTGAGGCCATGCATTTAGTGAGATTTTCAGTAGATTATGCGTTAGGGAGATTGCATTTTGGGATGTCGTATTTGGAGTAGATATAAGTTATACGTATGTACGTTGTGAAAAATGGTATAACACCAAAACTAGACTAACAAGGGTCGCTACTAGACAAAATCCTAACACAAACACTACTAAATCTAATAAAATCATTCTATACACCCTACTTGGAAGGCTTCATTTGAAGTGTGGATTGATTTGGTCCGAGAATAGGGTGTTTTACGATATTGCGGTGATCACGTGGACAAGGTAATAAGATATACGAAATACGATAACAACGTTACAACCAAAGGGGACTACTATTACTATTTCATTCATGTTGAACTCAAGGACTTTGTTTTGGACTAAAAATCAAGTCTTTATATACATGTGTTTGTTATATAACTTTTACCTATGTGCCGTTATTAGTGATGTGCCGTTTATATGATAGCCCAATTTTTTTCGCGTACAGTACGTACAGTACATACAGTGATATATAGTATATAATTAGAAATAGACCTGCATTATTACTACGGCAAAATCTTCAATACCAGGAACGGAGTGATGAATATCACGAAGTGTATGGCTTATTCGAGAAAGAAATTATGTGCGTACCCAAAATCTAATACCCGATTGGTC